TTGAGCGCTCGCTGACGCGCGGACGTACGCATGCGCGCGCGTTTTTTGACCTGAAATTAAACGGACGGATATTGACCTTAACCCATAGCCTGCCATGAGGCTGCATGCACGCTACCTATTGAGTGCCATGTGCGTGCAAGGGCGCATTCGTAGTAGCAGCTATTGTTCACGCTCATTTGGCTGTGCTGTGTGTTTTGCACTCGCCATTCATAGAGCCATCGCGTTAATCAGATTATCTCCAAAACAACCTGGCACAGTGGGGATTAGCCCTGTGGCACGATAAGAGTTAATCATGATAAATATGAATACGAAATGCCTTTCCGTTATGGAGATATGATCATGAGTTGAAAGTACAAAAAAAAAAAAAAAAATGGCGCCTGGATGACGTCATGAAGATTTGATGACCTTGAAAATGTTACTGTCACGTCTCATGACAATGACCTATGACTGTGCCAAAATTGAACGAAATTGATTGAACTGATCTTGAGTTATCCTGTTAACAAAAAAGTGCGGAGAATAAAAATAAAGAAATACAGAACTAGAAATATCGCAATCTGTATTGCCGCGCAATGCGAATGTATCCCCCGGCAGTGGCAGCGATTTTGTGTTATCCTTATGTGGAAGGAGGGACAAAGATTCCCTCTCCTCTCTGTGAAACAAAAGGATGACGTAGAGATTGCCGCAAGTGGCTCAGACTATTGTCAAGACTAGGAGCAGCATCACCAAAACAATAGGTGTGTAGATCAGATTATGATGCATATTTATAGAAAATTTGAAAGAAATGTGATTTGCATAGCAACACAAGATATTCCTTTAAATATGACCTTTGACCCTATAAGAGATGGAATACTGGGGGGTAGCAGCACCAAATTTGTGGAGGTCTAGAGTAAACTATAATGAACCTTAATACAAGCAGCATCACTAAAATCTATAGGCTTGTAGATTATACCAAGATACACCTTTGTTCAAAATTTGAACAAAATCCCTTTAGAAATGTGGCCTATAGAGCGCACACAAACAAAAATATGGCCTTGTACCCTATAGAAGGCGGAACACTGGGGGCAGCATCACCAAAAGTTATAGGTATGTAGATTATACCAGGATACACCTCCATACAAAATTTGAAAGAAATCCGTCAAGAAATGTGGCAGTTAGAGCGCACACTAGAGTGCACACAAGACATCTATAAAAATATGACCTTTGACCCTATAAAAGACGGAACATTGGAGGCAGCATCACTAAAATCTATAGGCTTGTAGATTATACCAAGATACACCTTCGTTCAAAATTTGAACAAAATCCCTTTAAAAATGTGGCTTATAGAGCGCACACAAACCATCCACAGAAATATGGCCTTGTACCCTATAGAAGACGGAACACTGGGGGCAGCATCACCAAATGTTATAGGTATGTATATTATACCAGGATACACCTCCATACAAAATTTGAAAGAAATCCATCAAGAAATGTGGCAGTTAGAGCGCACACTAGAGTGCACACAAGACATCTATCAAAATATGACCTTTGACCCTATAAAAGACGGAACATTGGAGGCAGCATCACTAAAATCTATAGGCTTGTAGATTATACCAAGATACACCTTCGTTCAAAATTTGAACAAAATCCCTTTAAAAATGTGGCCTATAGAGCGCACACAAACCATCCACAGAAATATGGCCTTGTACCATATAGAAGACGGAACACTGGGGGCAGCATCACCAAAAGTTATAGGTATGTAGATTATACCAGGATACACCTCCATACAAAATTTGAAAGAAATCCATCAAGAAATGTGGCAGTGAGAGCGCACACAAGAATATGACGCGGCGGCGGCGGCGGCGTAACGCTGCTGAATCCAAAGTACCCCACCGGCATACTGCCGGGGGATACAATATTCAAATATTGACTGCTCATGAGGATGATGGTGGGAACTATCACTCCCAAGGTGGTGTTTACACCGGCCCTTCTATCACCCCCGAGGGAGTGATAGTTCCCACCATCATCCGATTACAGAGCAGTCCATATTTGTTTTATATACCTCATCCTTTTTATTGATTCATGATTAGGTCTAGCTGTTTAATGTTAGCAAGAAGACCACAGCTCAGACCGATCAGCAATACATTTTTGCAAGGCCCAGGGACCTCCCTTATTGACCAAAGAGGTCGGTTGTTCTGGCACTTTAAAAAAAAAGACTAAAAAAGAATAAAGTTCTGAAATTCAAAGTTTTTAGTGTTAATATCATTCATTCTGATATCAAAGAGGACATTGTAATGAACATGTATTCACGGATCGAGCTGTATACCCAAAAATGAGGCAAAGTTAAAAGTGAGATGTTGCACTCATTGAAAGTGAGCACTGCCATTTTATCTTCCAACAAACATTGCATGTACGAGTGAAAACCTCATGCATTTTGCAACATTTTGCTTTGGACTTAATCCGTATTTAGGTGTACTGCACATTCCGTGATACGAAAGGGGAATAAACGGGTTTGTATTTAAGGATCCCGAATGCTAGTACGATGGCGCATGTATATTTAGAAGACACATCTCAAAATTGAATTGTAGAACTATCTCCCCCACTTCTAGTAAAAGTACAGTATTGCAGATTTGTTTTTTATTTTCTTCATTATTTTAGTTTGGAGAGTTTATGTTGTGAAGAAGTCATTCTGCAAGGTTTTTGCATTTTTTGATCCGTTAAATTTTACTTAATAAAATCTTATCGTACTTTTTAAAATCTTATGTAGTTCATCTTATGCCTAAAGTGTCAGTGAACAGAGAGAGAGAGAGAGAAGAGTGAGGGGGGATGGTTAGATGACATTACCAAAGAGGGGGAGGCGTGAGAGGAAAGAGAAATGGAGAAATGACAAATGGCCATTTGGGGGGGGGGGCGTTAACGAATGAACGAGAGAGAAGGAGGGGGGGGGGTAAATGCTAAATGCGTGATAACGAAAAGAGAGAAAATGGGTGCAAAAAGATGACGAGTTGATTGGGGGAGATTTGCGAAAGGAGGAATGAGAGAAAAATAGGGGACGAAATGTACAATGCACGAGAGAGAGAGAGAAAAAAGTAAGGGATGCAAACAGATGACAAAAAACGGAGTGGGGAGGTTTAAAAAATGATCGAGAGAAATTGGGGGGGGGGGTGATGAAATGCTAAATGTATAATTTAAAAAACGGGAGAGGGGGGAATGGAGTAGGGGAGGTTTAATAATGAATGAGATAAAAAGAAAAATGAAGAAACTAGAGAGATACGCGAGGTATAGAGGGCCAAGAAAGGATGCAAGAGGATGCTAAATGAAGTGGGGGGGGGGGGGTAAGATAGAGAGAAACTACATATTCCGAGATGTTCATGGTCGCATCTACCATTGTACGACCGTAGGAGCTATTTGAAATTTATCTAAATTTACCGGGAGCACCGGTAATTTTTTATATTCAATTTTTCTCAAACGCAGAAGTATTTTAGGGGATAATTTTTCTAGTGCTTATAATACATCATAGGGGCATCCAAATATATCAAAAATGGTAAAGAATCACTATCCACCCAATTTTCAATATTTCCCCAAACTTTGTATTACCTTTAAGGGGGATGCTAAATGTACAAAGAATAATATAGAGATTATAAATGAAAATTGGAAAGAAAGAGAGAGAATGGGGTACAAATTGGCAAAAAAAGTGGTGCAAGAGAATGACAAATGGAGTGGGGGAAGTTGGTAAAAAAGAAAGAGAGAGAGAGAGAACACAGGGGGACAGGAGGGGAGTTACATTTTAAGTGTAACAAGAACAACAAAATAAAGACAAGTAGCCAAAAAAGGAAAATAATGTCATTTAATAAAATTAGTCAAGTAAAAAAAAACGAATCTTGGGTAATAAACTAATTGTAAAAGAATTTATTCCACTGAAGTGCACTTCAAAATATTCCGCTAAACTCACTAAAACGTTAGGTAAATCTAAGAAGTCTTTTTGCATAATATGCATAATAGCTATTGTCATATTAGAATATTCATAGTTTCCCTAAAAATTTGCACCCGATTATCATATTTAAGGGTTTTAGTGCTTAAAAAGGTTTTTTTTTTTTTTAGTTTCAGTAAACACAATGACATTCTCATGATAATATACATAATGTCTGTTATGTAAATTATCGTTCGCCAGCAAAAGAAATTCATTTTTATAAATTTGCATATCAGTACCTGACAAATAATGCACATATTCCACATACTGTTCTGAATGTTTATGAATATGACAAATAATTTTGTTGTATATGACCAACTGTGAGCTCACTTTGCATAATTTGCAAATAAGTGTCGGTCATGAATGAATTAATGTTCCATGTATCCCTTTAAATTTGACCCAAGTATCCGATTGAAGCAAGGTTGTCAAAGTCATTGAACAAGGTGGAAACATTTAAGAATCTAATTGCGGTTAATGTTTGCAAAATATACATATAAATACCATCAAATTTACAGTGACATATGAATTTTCTAAAATGATAATGGCTAGTTTGCTTATAATTTGACTAATTTTCATTATGTAGAATTTCCTAAACTTTCCCAATTTTCCTAAGTTGTTAGGAGGATTATTTTGAAGTGGACTGCTGTAAACTAAATTCTTTTGCAATTAGTTTAGGGTATGCCTAAATTTCTTATTTTGACTAGACTAAAATCCATAGACACAAGTATTACCCCTAACTTATGAATATATTACATCAACAACAAGCAGTGACAAAGGTAAAATGAATGAGTTCGCTGAGATTCATAATACTATGTATGTAATACTCTTATTAAAACATATAACATTTGTAGAGTGATGCACATGTTCATGCTGTATTGCAAAATGTTTCAAAACATTTAAAAACTAACTTATTCATTGCCCAAATTGTTTAAAAACCGGACAGCGTTATATTTGCGACCAATGCTGTAAACAAAAATGGGCCTTCCTTTACTCCTTGAACCATATTTTGTGTTGAACAAAATTGGCAATAAACTTTTTTTTTTTTTTTTTGGGGGGGGGGGCAATTTTTTAAGGGCCTCTCATCAGTGTACGGTTTTGCATGGCAATCTTACTTCCACGTAAAAGGTGGGGGGAATAAGCTGCAAGATATTTGAAAAATCTCGAATCTCATTAGATTTTAGAGTGAGACCATTGGAATAAAAGCCTACATGTATTTATCCGCAGTGAATAGACCATCTGCTGATTTGAAAGTGGCAACGAATCTCACTTTTAAGCCCATATCATATGCATTCTTCAGTGCATCAACCTACAAGAAATAGTTATTCCAATCGTAAAACTGAACAAATCCGTTCCAAGAAGAAACTGGGTAGCGTTTCACAAAACCGTAAAGATTACCAACTTCCCATTGACATGCATGTTAGTTTAATACACATAGTTGGATGTCGGTGAACTTCTACTTGAGACAGTTTTGTGGAACGATACCTGCTTTAAAAGAGGAAAGAAAACGGAGACAAACATATCCAAACAAGTTTGTGAAAAATATGCAACTTGGTTATGAGTTTGTGATGCCGTTCCCTAACTAGTTATTATTGATTGCATGTTTAGATCTTGTAATGTTTAGTTGTATCCCCCTAGAAATTACTTCCTAATTCATTTACAAACATGACTTCATTTAGAAATGTATGTACATAACAGAGAAAACATTTACTTGATAGTTGTATACACAAATGTATTACTGTCGATAAAACAGTCAAGGCTTAATATGTTTATGGGAGGCTTTGGCGAATTATATAATCAATCTAAGCATGATAAAAGAAAAAAGGCCGAATTCATGAAAAACTATAGTGAAGTCACAAGCTCATGACTGAATGAGTTTGCCAATTTGTCAAGTGATTTTTTTAATATTTTTCCATCAATTTTCATGTCTCTAAAAGATACGTAGTTAGTTATTCGACTTTACTCAACCTTGTTAGGCTTGAATCGAATTGTCTGATTTTCCGCTTTTATTGAAAATAAGTTATTCTTGGACCGGAGGTGCCCTTCAACAACCCTCTAAGAGGAGAATTCTTTGGGTTAGAAAGGTAAGAGCCGGATGGAAAAATACTAAACGAGTGCCATAAAACGTTCTTCCCAGCCAAAAACTTGTTTTGATGAATATAGGATTTTTTCTACAACAGTCATGATGGATAAAAGCAAACGCAGGCTTTATGGGGCGATCATACCTGATATTTTTTAACATTATTTAAACAATCATAGAAAGTCACTCTGCAGTTATCATAAAACACTGCAACTTGAACAAATACAGATAAATATGACACTTCCAAAATTACAGTCATAGCTAAATGATCATTGACATTGCTTGAAAGCATAACATTTCAAAACATTAAATTTCAAAACATTAAATTTCAAAACATTAAATTTCAAAACATTGTATATCAAAACATTACATACTGTATCTAACCATTTTTCAACGACATTCATATAAAGTGAAAGGAGGGGAGATAATTATGGGGAGAGGGAGTTCTATGACGTCTCTTTCAATTTCCTTTGCCCCTCTATCTTTTAGTTTTATTTTATCTCATTTCCCTTTGTTCCTATCCTTTTCCTCGTCCTTTTCACCATTCGTTGAGGACATGTGCCTCTAAACTTAGAATCAAGCCATTGACAAGAGGTTTACTTATATATGATTCAGTTTGTCCGCATATAGGGTATAGTCCATCTGTGGGATGGTTATCCTAGAATCTAAGATAATTATTATTGGGCAAGTCCAAGCATATTTTGTCCATATTTTGTCATATTCGGAATCAAAATACGTCATTGCCAAGTTCGCACATTTAGTAGGGGACACACAAGGCGATTGGAATTGCCCTTACTAGATGAATTTTCGAAAGTTCATTGTAGTTGCTACCGTGTTTGTATCTGATCATACTATTCAGTTAATAGCTCGACTACAGCTTAGATCAGACCAAATATGAAGGAAAATTATACACTTGAGGTCAATGTGGTTCAGAACACCACAATACTTACTAACTTATGAGACAACAAGATTTAGCGACCAAATATAATAACGAACATGAGACGGAATCCTTCCTAGTCTTGAAGGCTGGCATAATTATTTAGGCAGCCCTGTGTGATGCACAAGCACTGCATATTGTGTATAAAACATAACTGTGCTTCCAGGGGTGGCCCGGGGCGTCCGCCAGCCTTGATCACCAAGAGCTGTTTACGCCAATGATGTATGTCTAACACGTATCATAATTTGCATGATTCTGCATGAATTTGCATAATTCTGCATGAATTTGAATGAGTAAAATCATTGACAACCAGGGTCCATCATTAAAGGAAAGGCCATCACGATCAATCGCCACACGACTGCGCATCGAAGAGATTTCTAACAACGATATTCGCAAACCGAAGTCGGCTGCCCCTCTTTCCACGATGATGCTGGCTTGCATGTCGACGATCGACCGGCACGACTAATCTTGACGCCGACGTCAGAACTTGTCCCGCCGTGACTGGCGGGGATGCTGAGTCGTCCCTGCAGCGGTCCGTCCAGTCCACCGCCTAGTCCAGCTCAACTGTTGACCTGGGTGCTGACGTCGTCGTCCTCGATATTCGTGAACCGAAGTCGTCCGCCCCTCTCCCCGATGATATACTGGCTTGTATTTCGATGATCGACGCCGACGTCGGAACTTGTCCCGTCATGACTGGCGGTGATGCCGAGTCCTCCCTGCAGCAGCGGTCCATCCAGTCCAACGCTGACCTGACCACTTGGCTGCTAGAGTGGTCGTCTTTGGATATCACCCACTCCCATTTGTGACTAAGGAGCTCTTGAGAGGGCTGTGTCGATACCGGAGTCTTGGGCGACAGCCGGGAGAGGAAAAGAAAAGAAAACACAGTGAACAAAATAATACCCTTCTATGTCATTTCGTAACAAACCTGTATGAAATTCAATATTATCTTCATAAATTTAATGAATGTTGTGAAGTATCTAATATTTGTTTATAATTTGTCCATTTTTATTGAATGTCTATATTTTTTAATACTCAAAATTCTCTGGAGTTCCATAATTCTCGGAATTAAGAAACAGAAACACTGAATTCTATGGGTCGGGTAGAGCAAGGTCTGGTCGCTATTCATAATGTGAGGTGAGGGTCGCTATTCATAATTCACATTGACGGTCATTACTTGTAAGGACCGCTATTCATAATACGAAATAAGGGTTTCTATTCATAAAAACGAGAAGAGGGTCGCTATTCATAAAACGAGAAGAGGGTCGCTATTCATAAAACGAGAAGAGGGTCGCTTTTCATAATACGAAATGAGGGTCGCTATTCATAATAGGAGTAGAGGGTCGCTATCATAATACGAAATGAGGGTCGCTATCATAATACGAAATGAGGGTCGCTATTCGTAATATGAGTAGAGGGTCGCTATTCAAAATACGAGATGAGGACCGCTATTCATAATACGAGAATAGGGTTGCTATTCATAACACGAAATGAGGGTCGCTATTCATATCACGAAATGAGCAATAAACAAAATGCTTATAACAAAGGGAGATATTGGATTGAGGACGATCCAACTGTAGATGTTGGGGGCGAATATGGCCCTGAATATTTGTCTGTTTTTAAAGTAGTTATTTTTTACCTCTTTATCTTTGGTGATTGTATAGAGACATCTCCCGCTCCTGTGGTGACGAAAAAAAGAAGTAAAACCAAAAAGATACCAGCTTGTATCTCTTTGGTAAAACACAAACACATATAATCCTACCGTAATTTGTCCTCCTTGTGAGAAATCTTACCCCACCATCCTACTCCCGACTGATCTTATCCAGGCTACGCCACTGAGACATTAAGTAGACCAAGCAGGCCCATTATCATAGTTATTTAAGGAATTAGTTTGCTATTTCAGAAACTAGTAATTGTTTATACGAAAATAAGGATTTTGTAGAAAATAGCTTATAGTACCAAAATAAAAAAGAAAATACAATAAAGGTAACAAAACAAACGAAGAGTACGGCTGACGTTAGTCGTCATTAAACACAGTGGCGTAATAATAATAATAATAATAATAATAGCCTGATAGTCCAATCCAAATTTTATTAAACCGAAACGGAAATTCTTTTTGCCCAATTGATTGTAAGCCCGGCAGCCACTGAGCAGCGCCAGATCGACGTTGCTCTATCCCTTACTGTTGAACGCCAAAACAAGGTAGCAACAACTCCCATCTTTTAACGTCTTTTGGTATGACGCAAAAACTTTGGGGGTCAGACCAAAATCCGCATCACCACCAAATAGCATAATGCAGCATCTTCCAAAATAGGGGAGGGGGGGGGGGGCACAAGCCCAAAAGGGGCACCTACAAAGGGAAACATCAAAAAACATATCCCATTTTTAGACATTGGTATATAGTCCTACATCGTCACGATTGTGATTACACTACCAGGGATGAAATCAATGTTTTTATTTACGTTGTACAAGATACTGCTTAATTAAGCAACATACTTTGCAGTTGGTGTGATGGTCTATATATTAATCTTAGGGCGAGCGAAGCGAGCGAGCAAAATTTTTAAGATTTGTGAGGTCCCAGTGCAAAAAACAAACCGTGATGAGTATTAATAAGCCCAATCTAATGAAGAAAGACTGAAAAGTCCTTTTTTATAAGTAACATGATTATAACTATCTATAAATGCGAGCGAGCTCTAGGGAAAATTATAGATAAAAGGGCTCTAAGTCGCCATGAATAAGGGGTGCATGCTATGAAGAAAGGAAAAAAGGGAAAAAGACAGTTATAAAAAAAAAGAAAAGCTGCTCGTGTCAAAGTAAAAAGGATTATTATCAGAGGTGAAAATGGCCCTTCTTGCACCTGAAAAGAGACACTCAACATAAATGAAAAAGGCACTTGTAAGAATTAAAATGGGGAATCTGTTGAAGGAAAAGAGCACCTATCAGATATTAATAGGGGCATTTATCAGATCTTAAGAGGTGCATTTCGGAAAGTGGGAGAGGTTCATATAAAAGAGGAAAAGGGGCACTTATCCGAAGGAAACATGGTAATTTTTAATAGAAAGGAAAAGGGTCACGTGCAGAACTCATAAAAGGGGCACTGATCAGTGGTGAAGAGTAACAGATACAAGAAAAGGAAGGGTTTTTTTTTATCCGAAAAGACGTACAAACTGTAGGCAGCCACATTCCTTAGTAGGGAGCCTCCGTTCTGGAGGGACCCCAAAATTCGAGTGAACTATTTAGGGTACTGCCACTTCCGCGTCTGTTATCTAACCAGTGCGGGTCTTCTGCCCTTGACATCTCTTCTCCGTACTCGGGGGGGGGGGGGGGAGGGGGGTGGATGCACCCCCTCCCCCCCCCCAAAAAAAAAAGCCTGAGCCGGGTTGTGGCCCGAGCAAGACAGCTATATTCCTTAGGGAGTCTCCGTTATGGAGGGACCCCGAGAGAAATTCGTTTTGGTTATTTTAATTAATACAATTCGAGTAATATTTTTAAGGGTACTGCCCCTTTCGCGTCTGTTATCTAGCCAGTGCAGGTCTTCTGGTAATGGAAATCAATTCTCCGTGCTCAGGCTAAGCCATATTGGGGCCCGATACAGGCAGCCACTTTCCTTAGGCAGCCTCCGTTCTGGAGGGACCCCGAGTGAGATTGGTTTTTTTTTCTTTAATTATTTCAATTTATAAAATTGGAGTGAACTCCTTAAGGATACTGCCCCTTTGGCGTTTGTTATCTAGCCAGTGCGGGTCTTCTGGCCCTGAAAATTTCTTCTCCGTGCCCCGGAGATGCCCCCATAGCCTGAGCCAGGTTGTTGCCCGAGCTAGGCAGCCAAACTTCTTAGGGAGCCTCCATTCTGGGTGGCCCCGAGAGAGATTCGATCTGTTATTTGGTTATTTTAATAAATAAAATTCGAGTTATATTTCTAAGGGTACTGCCCCTTCCTGTTATTTAGCCAGTGCGGGTCTTCTGGCAATGGAAATCTCTTCTCCGTGCTCGGGAGAAGCCCCCCCCCCCGACACACACACACAGCCTGCGCCAGGTTGTGGCCCGAGCTAGGAAGCCAAATTCCTTAGGGAGCCTCCGTTTCGGAAGGATCCCGAGTGAGATTCGTTTTTTTCTTTAATTATTTTAATTAATAAAATTCGAGTGAACTTCTTAAGGATACTGCCCCTTTCGCGTCTGTTATTTAGCAAGTGCGGGTCTTCTGATAATTGAAATCTCTTCACCGTGCTCAGGGTAAGCCAGATTGTGGTCCGATGTAGGCAGCCACATTCCTTAGGCAGCCTCCGTTCTGGAGGGACCCCGAGTGAGATTCGTTTAATATTTAATTATTTTAATCAATAAAATTCGAGTGAACTTTTAGGGCTACTGCTACTTCCGCGTCTGTTATCTAGCCAGTGCGGGTCTTCTGGCCCTGGAAATTTCTTCTCTGTGCTCGGGGGGGGGGGGATGTCTCCCACACCCTACGCCAGGTTTTGGCCCGATCTAGGCAGCCACATTTCTAAGGGTGCCTCTGTTCTGAAGGGACACCGAGTGATATTCGTTTAATGTTTAATTATTTTAATCAATAAAATTCGAGTGATATTTTTGAGGTTACTGCCCCTTCCGCGTCTGTGTTTTAGCCAGTGCGGGTCTTCTGGCAATGGACATTTCTTCTCCGTGCTCGGGAGATGCCCGCACAGCCTGAGCAAGGTTGTTGCCCGATCTAGGCAGCCAAATACCTAAGGAAGCCTCTGTTATGGAGAGATCCGAGAGAGATATGTTTGTTATTTAATTTTTTTAATTAATAAAATTCGAGTGAACTTCTTAAAAGTACTGCCCCTTTCGCGGTTGTTATCTAGCTAGTGCGGGTCTTCTGGCAATGGAAATCTCTTCTCCATGCTCAGGCTTAGCCAGATTGTGGCCCGATCTAGGCAACCACATTCCTTAGGCAGCCTCCGTTCTGGACTGACCCCGAGAGAGATTCATTTTTTTAAATTTAATTAATAAAATTCGAAGTGATTTGTTTATGGGTACTGCCGCTTTCGCGTCTGTTATCTAGCCAGTGGGGGTCTTCTGGCCCTGGAAATATCTTTTCCGTGCTCAGGAGATGGCCCCACAGCCTAAGCCAGGTTGCTGCCCGATCTAGGCAGCCAAATACCTGAGGGAGCCTCCGTTCTGGAGGGACCCCGAGTGAGATTCGTTTTTTTCTTTCATTATTTTAATCAATAAAATTCGAGTTATATTTCTAAGGGTACTGCCCCTTTCGCGTCTGTTATCTAGCCAGTGCGGGTCTCTGGCCCTGGAAATCTCTTATCCGTGATTGGGGGCAGGGGAGTGCCCCCACAGCCTAAGCCAGGTTGTGGCCTGATCTAGGCAGCCACATTCTTTATGGAGCCTCCGTTCTGGAAGGACCAGAGAGAAATTCGTTTTGTTATTAAATTATTTTAATTAATAAAGTTCGAGTGAGCTTTGTAGGGGATGCCCCCAACAGCCTAGGCCAGTTTCAGGTCCGATCTAGGCAACCACGTTCTTTAGTGAGCCTTCGTTCTGGAGGGACCCGAGTGAGATTCGTTTTGATATTTGATTATTTTAATCAATAAAATTCGAGTGAACTTTTTAAGGGTACTGCCCCTTTCGCGTCTGTTATCTAGCCAGTGCGGGTCTTCTGGCCCTGGAAATATCTTCTCCGTGCTCGGGGATGCCCCCACAGCCTCAGCCAGTTTAAAGCCCGATCTAAACAGCCATCAGGAAGTCTAAGCCAGGTTGTGGCCCGATCTAGGCAGCCACATTTCTTAGGGAACCTCCGTTTTGGAGGGACCCCGAGTGAGATTCGTTTAATATTTAATTATTTTAATCAATAAAATTCAAGTAAACTTTTTAGGAGTACTGCCCCTTTCGCGTCTGTTATCTAGCCAGTGCGGGTCTTCTGGCCCTGGAAATATCTTCTCCGTGCTCGGGGGATGCCCCCACAGCCTCAGCCAGTTTAAAGCCCGATCTAGACAGCCATCAGGAAGCCTAAGTCAGGTTGTGGCCCGATCTAGGCAGCCACATTTCTTAGGGAACCTCCGTTTTGGAGGGACCCCGAGTGAGATTCGTCTGTTCTCTAATTAGTGCGGGTCTTCTGGCCCTGGAAATACCCCCCCCCCCCACACACACACACACACAGCCTGAGCGAGGTTGTGGCCCGAGCTAGGCAGCCAAATTCCTTAGGAAGCCTCCATTAGGGAACCTCCGTTTTGGAGGGACCCCGAGTGAGATTCGTTTAATATTTAATATTTTAATCAATAAAATTCGAGTGAACTTTTTAGGGCTACTGCCACTTCCGCGTCTGTTATCTAGCCAGTGCGGGTCTTCTGGCCCTGGACATTTCTTCTCTGTGCTCGAGGGGATGTCTCCCACACCCTACGCCAGGTTTTGGCCCGATCTAGGCAGCCACATTTCTAAGGGTGCCTCTGTTCTGGAGGGACACCGAGTGATATTCGTTTAATGTTTAATTATTTTAATCAATAAAATTCGAGTGATATTTTTGAGGTTACTGACCCTTTCGCGTCTGTTATCTAGCCAGTGAGGGTCTTCTGGCCCTGGACATTTCATTTCGTGCTCAGGAGATGGCCCCACAGCCTAAGCCAGGTTGCTGCCCGATCTAGGCAGCCAAATACCTGAGGGAGCCTCCGTTCTGGAGGGACCCCGAGTGAGATTCGTTTTTTTCTTTAATTATTTTAATCAATAAAATTCGAGTGAACTTCTTAAGGGTACTGCCCCTTTCGCGTCTGTTATCTAGCCAGTGCGGGTCTTCTGGCCCTGGAAATCTCTTATCCGTGCTTTGGGGCAGGGGAGAGCCCCCACACCCTAAGCCAGGTTGTGGCCCGATCTAGTCAGCCACATTCTTTATGGAGCCTCCGTTCAGGAAGGACCAGAGAGAGATTCGTTTTGTTATTAAATTATTTTAATTAATAAAGTTCGAGTGAGCTTTGTAGGGGATGCCCCCAACAGCCTAAGCCAGTTTCAGGTCCGATCTAGGCAACCACGTTCTTTAGTGAGCCTTCGTTCTGGAGGGACCCGAGTGAGATTCGTTTTTTTCTTTAATTATTTTAATCAATAAAATTCGAGTGAACTTCTTAAGGGTACTGCCCCTTTCGCGTCTGTTATCTAGCCAGTGAGGGTCTTCTGGCCCTGGACATTTCTTCTCCGTGCTCAGGAGATGGCCCCACAGCCTAAGCCAGGTTTCTGCCCGATCTAGGCAGCCAAATACCTTAGGGAGCCTCCGTTCTGGAGGTACCCCGAGTGATATTCGTTTTTGTTTTTAATTATTTGAAACAAAAAATTCGAGTGAACTTTTTAAGGTTACTGCCCCTTCTGAGCCTGTTATCTAGCAAGTGCGGGTCTTCTGGCCCTAGAAATTTCTTCTCCGTGCTCGGGGGATGCCCCCAACAGCCTAAGCTAGTTTGTGACTCGATCTACATTTGCAAGCACTCACCAGAGATGAAAAGAGAGGTAAAAGACAGTTGTCAAAAAAAAAGGGGGGCACTGGTCCTATGTAAAAGGGGGAAAAAGTGGGGAATTCCGCCACTGGTGTGATGGGCAACAGTTAATGAAAAACCAGGAAAAACCCTGTCATTTCAGCATCATTTGTAAATCACTGGTATCGAATTAGAAATTAACCACATTTGAAATTTATTTGGGAGGTTAACTCCCCACCCCCCCCCCCCTTATCAGTACGCCAGTGAACCGAACCAAGATAGATAATTACAGAACAAACACATCATAATAAACCAGACCACCTGTCAATTCTTCATACACATTGAGAACAGGAATAGATTGTGTTTTTTTTTTTTATAGTTGTTTTAAAACCATATTATTAATCTTAACCCCGCCGCCTACGCCTATAATTTCATGATGAAGATTCGAACAGTCATATGTAGGACATTTATATTTATTTCGGCGAGGGGGGGGGGGGGGGTAGGTGTTTTTTGGTGGTAAAATATAGCGTCTTGTTACCAAAATAAATTGTCATAAGTTTTACTCTCAGTTAAGGGGGGGGGCAAGATTTCCCACAAGGGGGACAAATTACGATAGGATTAATCGTGAGTTATGTTTTGTTTTTGTTTTTTTGTAATCACTGGAGCAGGGGAACTATATAAGCAAGTTTATGGGGATGTCTCTATATAATTATCAAAGCTAAAAAGAAAAATATACTTTTAAAAAGACATAATACAGGGGACATCACCGTTCGCAAAATGCCTTACGGTCACAAAATCGTATCTTATTTGGCTTAAAATCTTGAAAATCTAACTTCGTGCAATATTGTATATTTACGACAAGATTGAATATTGTGTAAAACCCCCTCTCTACCGCTTCATTCATGTGCTGATGGTTAGAATAATGACCCTTTTCTCAAATTATGAAAAGCGGTCCTTATGAATAGCGGTCCTCATAAATAGCGGGGGAGGGGGGGGGGGAGACACATGTCCTTTCCCATTTATGTCGACTATAATTTGAGCTTTCGCACTAAACAATTCTTGTGAACTGTATATCAAGCTGAATGTGTATGTTTAATTATCAATAATTGTTTGACTTTGTGTTGCTCATCTACATCGTGTTTTGTTTTTTAAATACTAGTCATAAACTTCACTTTGAAATCTCAAGTCACAAGGAATTGAGATTTACCCAAAGGCATTTAAGAGCAAAAACTGTTCCTACCTTGTTGCACATAATTTGAATGGCCCGTAGCACTGTATAAAGTCATCAAGAGTAGAGTGGTCCATCATAAAAAGGCGTCCATCATTCCGTGCCTGCATGTGTTCTCACTTTGATGTCTGGTCTCCTAGATGTCTTTCATTTTGGGATGTAACATCAACTGCAATCACCGATATAGCTGCAAGCCAGACTCATTCTGAAAATTTAAAAAATGAATAAGAATACTTTCTTTATATCAAAGTATATCCTTATCACATGCCTGAATTCAACTATTTCAAATCTTTACCATTTATACCCCAGTCCAACAAGACCTACAACAGACCGACAATGGACCGACTACAGACTGGAAACAAAATGATATTACCACAACAGCAATGATCGGTTCGGAGTCAGTTTGGTGTCTGTCGGTATGTGACTGAGGTAGTATTTATTTATCTATTTATTACTGATATTTATACAGGATGGCACATAATCACCCATTTGATGGTCTTCCATGAGGCCCTCGTTGGTAAGATTAAAACAAATAACGGCAGCAAAAACAAAAATGTATAAATACACAAGCATATAAACAGGTAAAATACAAATTAATTGGTGTCCTCATGAAATAACTGATGATTCATAATAACCTTTTAATTATTGTCACTTAAATGGCTGAGGAAGAAAAAAAAACTTTTTTTTTTAACATAAGAAGTCCAGATTTGGAGTTTCTAATAACAAACAGGCGTATGAGGTGGGCTCTGGTGACCCTCTCCCTATAAAAAGATGACATTACCAGTATTTAAGCAGCCGTCACCTCATGCAATGGCTCACAGCACTGCATAAAGTCAGAACGAGTACCTGCATGCGTTCTCCCTTTGATGTCTGGTCTTCTACATGTAGATGTCTTTCACTTTGGGATGTAACATCAACTGCAATCACCGATATAGCTGCAAGCCAGAATCATTCTGAAAATTAAAAACAAAATCAAAGTATATTCCTTTCACATGCCTCAATTCAGCTATTACACATCTTTAGCATTATACCCCAGTCCAACGAGACCGAAACAGACCGACTACATAACGACTACAGGCCGACTACAGACTTGGACCAAAAAAATATATTACGGTTTGGGGTCAGTTTAGTGTGTCGGTATGTGACTGATATTGTTTTTTTAAAGGTTGGGAAGAATCAATCCCTTTTTTCAACATACAGAGTCCCGATTTGGGGGTTTGTAATAACAAACAGGCGTACGTACAAGGTGGGAGTGGGTTCTGGTGACCCCCTCCCTATAAAAAAGGATGAAGTTACCGGTATTTAAAGGGCAAGTCCACACCAAACATAACTTACTTTCAATAGAAGCAGAACAATCAGACAAACCAATCAAAAGAAAGTTTGAGCAAAATCGGATAACTAATGAGAAAGTTATGAACTTGTAATTACATTTTAAGTTGAAAATCACAAGACGCCATTGCCTCACTATCCACTAATTGTTTTCTTTATATTGATAATATAAATTTCCAATTTCCCCCTAAAAATCTCATTTCCTCACACCAGCATCCTAGATGTATTGATAGTAATAGGCCATATGTTTTCGTGTGGATGCACTTAATCTAATATCGATTTTTGGGAGGAATTATGTTCAATCATGAAAAACGTGAATTTTAATAAACTGTTTGTGTAAAAATTAATAATTGTGATTATAGTATTTCGAAAAAAAGTGTCAGTATTTCAAAAATCATAAAAGATTGTGAAATATCATGCATGCAAAATGATACAAATCATATAACCTGGGGAAATCAAGTTCTTGGGGATAAAAAGGGAAATTAGTGGGATAAAAATACATAAAGCAATTGTTTAGTGAGGCAATGACGTCACAAAGTGATAACCAATTGGGCAATTTGTGTAGTGATTTTTATTGATCCATAGCTTTTCATACTTTAAAAAAAAATACTTTCTTATTAGTGATCCGATTTTCCTCATACTTTTTTTTGCTCTGTTTCTCCTGTTTTAATTCCTGCATCTTTTGAATGCAAGTCATTTTTGGAGTGGACTTAGCCTTTACTACAAGATCATTAACTACAACTGGCTTCAACTGGCCAGACTCGAGCGATGTGTGTATATAGGTTAAAACATGACCGCCGTTTAATTACTATCGGTGGCTTTTAATTACAGTCGTTATGCAACATCATATCAATTGCATATCGGCAATTGATCCACGCATACAGGTGTCCCTCTGACCCGTTCTGACCCGCTACTTTAAGTTCATTAGCATTGACTGTCTATGCTTTGCTGGAGTGCTCTGACATCACTATTGCCATATATACAAACAGAAGCGGATCTAGAGGGGGGGTTGGGGGGGGTTGCAACCCCCCCCCCCAAAAAAAAAAAAAAAATCCGGGGACCATTTTTTTAAATCTTATCTTTTTTTTTAAAACTTGTAATTTTATTTTATTCTATTTCTATGTATTTATTTCATTTATTATTATTATTATTATTATTATTATTATTATTATTATTATTATTATTATTATTATTATTATTATTATTATTATTATTATTATTATTTCTTTTTGGGGGGAGGGGGGGGGGTTGGGCGAACAAATGTCACAGAGTCCCCAGGCGCGGATCTACGGGGGGGTTAAGGGGGTTTAAACCCCCCCCCCCCCCCAAAAAAAAAAAAGGGAAAAAAAAGAAAGAAAAAAAAAGAAAAAAAGAAAGAAAAAAGAACGCACGCTGGAGAGAAACCCTTTCAAGTGCAAATATTGTGAGAAGATATTCAACTCATCTGGTAACTTAACCAAACACATGATAACTCTGGATATAACTGTGTATTTAACTGTTACTTGATTTAAAAAGACGTTATCATGCACTGCTTTTTATGGTCTCCATTGTGTTAATAGATGCCAGGAAAACATCACTTACGGGGTTGAAATAAACACCCCCCCAAAAATCGGGTCGCCGCTTCGCGGCTCGTGGACGATGCTCCGCATCGTCATTATTGGTCAACCCCCGGCCCCCTTAGCAAAAAGCTAGATCCGCCCCTGACAAATGTAAAATGACAACGACCATATGGAAGGGTGTCTAGCGAGTAAAAGGCATACCATATATTCTCATTACTCAGGCCAAATCGGACATTTTTGCATTAGATTATCTCGTCTCTTTGGAGTCAGAAGGGTACGTGTTAATGAATATCTTGTATACAGAGTTAATACCATTCTGGCTCCAAAAGACGGTCTGTTGATTTCACTCTAATTTCAAAATATAGTACACTATTTAGTTTACGTTCATTACTTAACAGTTGTAGGTCGATTACTTTACTCTTTCCCGCTACTTTAAGAAGTGTAATTCATCTCAAAATCAGGCCTTTCAAAACATTCGAAATTAAATGATTTATTTTACTTACTGGTCACTCTTTTGTCTCCGCTGCATGATGAATTTCTGTTTCGCCAACTTACTGCAGTGCCCAAACGTTCGATAGACGAAACACGCCTCAGTCCTTTTTGAAATACATGTCATGTTTTCTCAATATTATTTGGTAGGTTAACATTTCTAAGAAAGATGAAAAATGGTCATATATTTAGCAATGAATTCGTGACACGTTTCTAGACCCTTCTTCCCGCAGTGAAAACTGTTCAAAGATGTTTCTTTGTGCACGGTGGCCGTGGCTGATCTGAACAGCATTCCCCATTGTATCATGCCATTCACTGCAATCCTGTACCACCACATACAATCACATACTTTCACCTAGCTGCCTCAGCTATTCAAACTTTCCCGCCACCCCGAGCTCGTGTATCGCCTGGGTGCATATTACGTAATCGTTCAATGGGCGCGCGCACGTTTTCTTGCTCAAAGGCCTACACCAGTCACACTGAGAACAACACTAGACTGAATTTAAACCGAACAAAAGTTACGATAACCTAACTGGCGAAGGGTCAATCGGTCTGAAGTCGGTTCAATAGTGTGGCTGAGGTATACAATGTAAAGCAGGGCAAGATATTATCAACAACGATTAATTTGCATGGACAGAAATCTCTCTTCAAACATGAGGGGGACACATTTTTTCCTGACAAGCGTATAAAGGGGGTCATCAACTTTTATCACGCAAGTAAGAACGGGAATAAAGTGCGACCATCGCAATCCCCTCCTCCCCCTTGACGGGCCAGACATTTTTTAAATTGCTTTTTTTAAAGTTTATACATTCAAGTTTGGTTTGAGCGATTTATATTTGGCAGAACGAACGACCCAAAATCATGGGGGGGGGGGTATTGAAAAGCCCACCCCTTATCAAATAGTGTGGGGACGCGCCCCTTTACCCCAGGATTTCCGCCAATGATACTTTGCTTTTTAACGAGAGGCTTTGGAGATTACTTGATTACTTGATGAATGAATTGTGAGAGAACTAGGCAATCGAGAGGGGGTGGGGTAGACTTGTGTGTTGCTTTCTTTCTAACGTTAAATTCTCGCTTTCCTTTCTTTTTCTCCCCCCCCCCCCTCTCTCTCTCTCTCTCTCTCTCTCTCTCTCTCTCTTTGTCTATCTTTCTCTCTCATCCCCTCTTTTGATGGGTAGGGGTATTTTTTTTCTATGTTTCGCCATTCGATTAGGAGGGAACGTGCCCCATGTAGAAACGCTACTAGGACGAGAGGGTCGGAGTGAAAATAACTATAATTTGTTGATTTCTTGTCCACCCAGGCTCTCAAAGATTTCGGCTGCACTTCTGTGTTTTTATTGTTTAATGAATACACACTTCACAAAATGATTTGAAAATTATTTCTTTGATTTATTTTTCATATTCATTGCAAATGAACACAATCATGATAAACATCAATGCATAATTACCTGTATTTATTACATTTGAATTAAATTTAGAAGGGCTTTGTCATTTCAACTCGAAAGTGCGACAGGTGTATTATTGACAGAGAGAGAGGGGGGGGGGGCATTAACCCCATTTATACAGCATGTTATTGTATAGCCACACACACACACACACTTGCCAGGAACGTTCATGTTCCATGGCTGGGGGTGCTGCAAAGGTTCTGTAAAGGTTGAGTCATGAACATTGAATTTCGCGATTATACACACATGTATATATACTAGTTTTACAATTCAATTCAATTCGTTTATTTCAATTCCAGCAAATGCATTGAAAAAGCATAGGTAATTTTTTACATGAAATATATACATACATATACGAATTTAAAAATATATATTTACAATATAATACAGTACAAATTTAACAAAAAGGTATAATAGGAAATAAGATGGCAATAAAAAACAATTTGTTTGTTTTTCTCGAAATGGCCAACCGAACAAATAAAAGTATAAATGAAATACATGCATAGGCGCCGGAAGTGGGGGGGGGGGGGGGGGGGGGGGGGGGGGGGGGGGGGGGGGGGGGGGGGGGGCAGGGGGCAGTTGCCCCCCCCCCCCCAGTCACAAAAGTGACTTAAATGACGTTTCCATTCAAAGAAAAGGAAACTTGACAGGAATTAAATTTCCTAAACACTTCGCATGCTACCTATATTTATCAATGGAGGTTTTTATAATAGCGATACCCGCATATCGTGGACATAATAGAATGGGAAAGCGTGGCTATTTTTTGTTATAGGGTACTGATGCGGGGGGGGGGGGGTAATTTTTATTCGAGTGATACCAGTGATTTACAAATGTTGATTGAAATGACATGATTTTCCGGTATTTTTTCTCATTTTTTTTGTAAGTCATACCTTTTTATGCGTTTGTTAGAAAATTTGAAATTCCCAAATTAACAGTCGGGCGACAAATATGCTTATTTAGAAGCCTTTATGTCAGGGTCTGCAGAACGGCCGGGCTCGGGGGCTCGAGCCCCCCTCACTTTAA